TTTTTTTTATGTTAACAGCAAGTAGATATAACGAGAGTGTCCATGCGACCATGCAGCATACTTAAGTACTTCAAGTACAAGTAGTGTATACCTATGTTTATGGATAAATTGTAAGGGTAAATCTTACGAAGCAACTGTGTGACAAAGCGAATGCACGCGATGACAAATGCTTGTTAAAGATGTTATTGGCAATAAATCTTATTGCCACTAAGATTACGGATCTACTAAATCCATCGAAAGACTTGTAGAACTGTCAGCCGTGCAGTTCTTTGAACAAAGTGAAGGTGAACTGTACATAATTCTTGAAACCCACTTTCTAATTTTATCACTGCACAAGAACCTAAAAACACTGCAAAGGTTACATTTCCACTTGAACACTGAGTAAACAAGACTCAACCAAGGGTTACGCGCACAAACTATGGTCTCTCCGCACACCTGTCAACCCCGCCAAGGCTTTACACGCGTCACTCGGCCCTCTAATCTATGTATGTTCAAGCAATATGGAGATAAAGATACGCTAGTGTGCATTTGTACACGAGACGACGCAAGGGTGTCGTCTACAGGATTCCGGCTCTTCATTTTCGCAGCACGGCGCGAGTTGGCAAGTTTAAATCGCAACAATAGGACTTGTTGTCTTCGCTACAATAGAAATGCAAGTACGAAAGGAAAACTGACGCAGGGCTCCTATCAAGTCGAGAGATTGAACTTCGGAACTGGTGAGGAATGATAGTGTCCTCACAAATTGCCAACGATGCTACGATTGCAAATCGCTCGCCACCTCTGATCGCCAACTTGGACCGCTGAGTGGCAGAGTGGCACGCGCTTCCGGTGGCCGCCGTCATCTTTAAGCGGATATAGCTCGGCACTTCGCTTTTCGCGTCCCCTGAGTCAGAGGTGGAGCCTCTGGCCCCACAGCTCGACTACAAGAACCAACATACATCGGTAAAGTCGGTTAGTTCTCAATATGCATGTGACAGACAATTCGACTAGCGATTGGGATCAGATTTTTATCCAGGAGCAAGCAACTAACAAGCCCACGCGGTCTCTGTATGTAAATGGACAGATATGTACAGAACTTTCCCAGGGGCAACTCAATCCAACGGCTACAGCACGGCAGACCAACAAGTCGACGCTGGCTGGGGATCAAATTTTACATATGAACAGCAAGAACAACGCAATTCCTCACAACCAACGGAGACTTTTACATGTAATTCCGATAACCCAGCTACTGGAACATCAAGTGAAGCTTCCACAGAGTACTTAACGTCGCCGCCTCTCTCCAGCTTCTCAGTTCTACTCAAGGACAACGGAGAGTTTAGAGACAGCCAGGATTTTGGTTCTCGAAACGGCGATATCCCACAATTCCAGTCTGGAAATGATATCTACACTACCGGACTCGATACGCCCATGACGAACTTAGCGATGCAAGATGCGATGGAACTGGTCAGTTTTAAACTGGGGCAACGCACAACGCCTACGCTGGCAATTGGACATGAATCAGCTGCTGTGGAAACGGCTCAAGCCAAGCACTCAGCAATGCCCAAGCTACGGAGTCTGGACTGCCCAACTTTCTCGAGTAGCGACGATGACGACGTGATATCTTTCAGTGGGATTCCCATGACGAACAGGTACAGAAATGTATCATAGCTGGGTTATTTTTTTTTTTTACTATCTTAACTAACACACTATCATGTTGTGGATTGTAGTGTGAATACAGGTCGCACTATCGTTGAAAATGATCGTGGCTTTCGAAAGAAGTCGCGAGAAAAAATGCGACGCCACGAGGTGAATATCAAGGTATGTCGGCATTGATAACTTTTTACTGGAGTCGACTGAACTAACGAGTTGATGGTATCCTAGTTTGAAATGCTCGTTAATGTTCTGGGGCTCGCCAGTCGCGCTCGCAAGAAGAATATTCTGCACGAGGCAGCATCTGCTATCAAAGGCTTAAAAAGAGAGTGCAATCAGCTGCGTCGTGAACGAGATCGACTTCAGCAAGAATTGAACAATTTGGCTACATATCTACAGAGCACGGAAAGTGGAGGACCGTATCTGACGTCATAATATTAGAGCTGTAAAGCTACAGCTGTGTGTTAGAGATTTAAGTGTGTGAAGTTTACACAAGTAAGTAAAGTACTTCTACCAGTTATGCGCTCCATACGCTTCCCAACCCAGCATGGCCACAACTGGATGGCTCTGTTTCTAGATGCAGGTTCATTTTCACGTTAGAAGCCAGGGTCTCCATCAATAATAACGTCGTTACGTTTACTACTACGGCAACCCTCTCGTTTAGTACGTGTAGTTTATGTTTTTTGGGGCAAAGCCCTATAATGTAACGTTCTCTTATTTAGAGGGACAACTACTATTTTTACAGGAGTATTTACGAAGTATTAGGAAGAGGGCTAGGGTAGATAATTACAATCAAACCGACTAGGGACCATTCTGGCGAAAAATACTTGTGTATAAGAACCGTTGATGCGAACTAACAGAGAGAAAAAAAATAGAAAAGCGCGGTAGTGACCTCTCGCGAAGATATTAACAGTCACTAAAAAGAGGAACCAGTTTTATGCTCTATATGAAGGGTCACTTTGTATCAGCCACCAAAGGATTGCGCGATCCAAGGATTTTTTAGGAGCGTTTTATGATCGTGGCTTCACAGCGTGTACCATCGCGACGCTTGACGCTATGGGTGATTAACGTCGACTTCCGGTCAAATTTAGCCCGAAAGG